TAGAGTTGTTATGAGTTGTACTCAACTGGACAGCACCTAACAACAAAAAATTTACATATACATATACCACTATAGTCAGCCATTCAGGGTAGAAAAGTTTCAGCAAAACTTGCTTCCAGACTCTGATAAGAAAGACCTAGCACAATGTTTCTGAAAGTTAGATAGTAAAAACACTGTGCATCAAGACAAATTACTTCCCACTATTGGAAGATGAACTATCTAAGTTGGATAACACTGCACTCAAACATACTAGCTACCATGAATAATAAAGGAATATGCAAATTTTCATTCTATTGTACATAAGATTGCTATACATGAAAGCTAACTTAACAATGATTAGCAACACAGTGATTTAGGCCAGGTATTCAGAATGATGTGAACATGCAGAGATGTCTAAGTTAAAGAGTGAATGTATAAATGGCAAAATGTGGTCCCTAGGCAACGTGTCATTGCTAATGCCAAATGCAACTTGGCTGAAAGCAAAGACTACCAGAAGGATGTTTATTTGTGTTTTATTGACTATATAAAGGCATTGGACTGTGTGGATCACAACAAATTGTGGCTAACATTGAGAAGAATGGGAATCCCAGAACACTTGATTGTGTTCATGTGAAACCTGTACCTAGAACAGGAAGCTTTCATGGGAAGAGAACAAGAGAAAATTCATGGTTCAAAATCAAGAAAGAAGTACTTCAGGGTGCTCCTTTCTCCATACCTTTTTAATATATATGCAACAGATAGTTCGGAAGCCTGGACTTTATAAAGAAGAAAGTGGCATCACCAAAAGTTCATCAATAACCTACATCATGCGGATGTTCAAACCTTTCCCACAGAATTGAGGAAGACTTAAAGCTTTGCAGCAGAAGGTCAAGGATCTTATTTAGATTCAATATGGATTACATCTCAATATTAAAAAAAAAAAAACAACTGAAAATCTTCACCACTTGGCCAATAGGCAGTACCATGATAGATGGAGAAAAGATTGACGGTATTATGAGTTTATCTTAATCCAATTTACAATAGACACTCTTGGTAGTAATTCAGAAGAAATGAAAAAAGGGGGGGTAAGTGGGGGGAATCTGCTGTCCTGGGCCTCTCTAAAGTCCTACAGTGAAATTATGTCTATTTAGAGAATACGATGTACCAGATTCAAGCCCTTTGGTCAGCTTCCTAGTCTAGATATAGGTATCATAAAAGCATAATTAAATATTCTGAAATTCTTATTCTTCTCAATTTTAGCTAAGGATTATTATGATTTTTACTATAGTAAAAGTCTTCGCAAAATAAATAAAACACAAACAGACAATCTTCTGATATTCTCTGCTTTCAGACAGTATCTATGACAGCCCTGATGGCACAGCCTCTTTTAAATCTAGCTTGAACTTCTGGCAAATCTCTGGCAATGTACTTTTGGATGATTATATTCAGCATATTTTACTTGTCTGTGACAGTAATGACTTTGCTCTATAATTTCCACATTCTTTGTTGGTTTACATTTCTTGGGAATGGAAACAAGTATTTATCTCTTCCACTCAGTCAGTGAAGCAACTGTCATCCAAATTTTCTGGCATGGATTGCTGAGAACATTCGGGGCTGCATCTGTTAGTTGAAACATGTTTATTTCATCCCATTGATTCCTAGGCATTTATTTTTTGCCCAATGCCTTCAAAGATACTTCTTCCTTCATTAGCACTGGCTCTTGTTCACATGGTACTTCCTTAAAGTTTTCAGTGTCAGTTAAATTTTTTTTCACAATCTGAAGAATATACTCAATGTCACAGAATTGTACACTCAGATACTATTAAATTTTTAGGTATTCTGCTATCGATAGTCTCAACACTGACACCAAAAAAGAAAATAAATTTGAAAAAGAAAAATAATTGTTAAACTCACTATAATAGAAATTAAGATATTAGTGATGTTGATATTATTTGTCCATTATTGCTGGTTAATAAGTATAAGGTTTGATACAATAATTCTGAGTATTCCTTCCATCTTCTTTTGATGCTTCCTGGATATTTCAAGATTTTTCTCATAACATCTCTGTATTGCAACTTGAAGATTGATTTGTTTTACAATTCTTTCAGCTTGAGAAAGTTTACCTCTTTTTATTCTCCAACTCCAGTACTTTTCACATTCCATTATAGTACTTTGTCTCCTTGAGCTGCCCTTCGTAATCTGCTTCACTCCCTTTACTTCAGCATTTTGTCATTTTGTTTTGGCTTCTTGACACTCTAGTGCAATTTTCAGAGGCTCTTCTGACATACATTTTGGTACTTTTTTCTCTTTAATCTCTGTAAGGGTCTTTTTGTCTCTCTTCCCCCCCTCCAACTAGTTTATTTACAAATCTCGAATACAAATTCTTTCCATTTCCCTCACCATCCCCACACATCAAATTATACAACCCAATGATTAAAATCTCTCTCCTCCTGCACATCCACATCCCTCTGGTTCCAGCCTCTCCCACCTCTCCTGGATCCTTGCACTCATTGTAAATAATGGTTTTATACAATATTTATCCTTGTTGGACTGAGTTAGTTCACTCAGCGTAATGCTCTCTAGTCCCTTCCAAGTTAGGTAATAATTTACAAAGTTTTTGCTCCTAAATGTTGCATAGTATTCCATTGTGTGAATGTACCACAATGTCTCAATCCATTCATTTGTGATTGAACATCTGGACTGTTTTCATGTTCTTGCCGTGGTGAATAATGCTGCTATGAACATTGGTGGACAAATCTCAGTTTGTGCCTCAGTTCTAGAATTCTCATGGTGCATTCCAAGTAGTAGAATATCTGGGTCATATGGAATTTCGATGACATTATCTTTGATGTCATCTCACAATACTTCTGGTCTTTGGTCGTTGGTGTTCAATACCTCAAAACTGTTCTTGAGATGATTTTTTTAATTTATTTTGTTAATTTTAATGAACATTTACAGATATTAAAAACAGAAAGTATAGAATCAAATTTGGTTTTGGTTCTTGTGGATTTGTTTTCATTTTCTTCAGTTTCAATTTGTGCACATAAGTAACTAATAGTGTGTTCTATAGTCAGCAGCTGACTTGGTTTTGACGGTTAATTTTGTTGTTGTTATTGTTAAATGTCTTCAAGTTGTAGGCCTCTCATAGAAACCCTATGAATGAAAGACCTGAACATTTGTATAACTTTCATCATTTCTACACATTCATGGAATTTCCAGAGGCAAGCTGTTTCAGAAATGGATGCCTCTCCTGCTTCTCAACTTGTTTTAATCTAATCAGGAAGCTCCACCAAACACAGTCAGCCATGGGTAACCATTATCACATTTGACACATCAGTGTCACAATGTTTAGTGTTACAGAAACCACAAATTATGCCTGTACGACAAGTGGACAGACCAGTGCTATACCACTTAGCAGAATGTTTGACCAAAAACAATTAAAACCAGGCCTGAGGGCAGCAGATTAAAATCACCCACTTTTGGCTTGGTAACATAACTTTCTATCTATTAGGCCAACAGAGCTAATAATGAGCTTCTCTAATAATTCTTTCCACAGACATAGACAATCTGATTCCTGTGCAATTCATCAGGTGAAGTCCATATGCAAAGTTGCTTCTTGTGGTTTTGACTTGGTGATTTTTGGTTGTTTGTTTTTAATCACACTTTGGTGGCCTATTGACAAGAAGCTATGCTGCAATCCTGAAGGTATGTAATTTGAAGTCACCATTTGCTCAGTGGGAGAAAGATGGATAATCTCCTCCTGTGCAATTAACTGCCTCTGAAAACCCACTCACTGCAGGGTCAAATATGGGCTGATTCCGACTCTACAGTACACAACAACATTTATTTATTAGTTGCTGGTATAGCCTTACATTTGCAGTGAATAATTTTAATGATTATTAATTTAACATATACAAAATTTGATCATTTGATCTCTAGGTTCATTTCAATCATCAAGCTGTACTTTCTGTAACCAGTGAGATGTGTTTGGATATGCAGAGAGCGAAAGAGAGGGGGCAAGGTAGCTGGTGGTGTGACACAGGATTTTAGAGTTTGTTGGTTGGATGGAGGGAGTGAAAAAAAAACAACCAAAATAATGTACATGAATGAAACACAGTATTTTTTTTTTAATTGCACTTTCTGCCTATCATTGTTTCCAGCTTTTGTATTCTAGTAACCAACAATTATTAATGTGTCATGATTGCATGTTTGGTTACTTTCAAAGTGCAAAAGTTGGTATAAATTATCAATTTCCTCTTCCTTGACTTTAGTTGTTGGTGCATACATTTTAAGAATAGTCGTATTAATAGGTCTTCCTTGTATACCTAGTTTCCTATAACTCATAAAATTGTACTTGAAGATAGATCTTGGATTCACCTTTTTAAACTATGAATGTAACATATTCTTTCTTAGTTTTTAATTCCTAGCCAAATAGATCATATTCAAAGTAGCCCATGCCAGTCAATCTCAGGTCACTAAAGCCTAAAATGTCACTTGTTGGGTGTTCCATTTCCGTTTTGACAAATTTCTATATGTATATTTTATACAGTTCACATTTAAGTTATTAAAGAATATTTGTAGCTGTTTCTCCTCATTTCAAATGACTTGCAATTTAAGCACCTGTATTCTTCTATTGTTGATAGGCTTTCAGAGGTCTGTTGTTTTAGAAATGAATGGTGAATACTGCATCCCAGTCTGTCTTAATTTTGAAGCTCTGCTAAAACTTACCCATCATGAGTGACCCTTATGATATTTGGAACACCAATGACATAGGTTCCAGAATTACAGCACCCCATTAGTTACCCCAGTATAGGAAACTGACAAACCTGCAATGTATTATTGAGTGGAAAATATAAATAAGCAAGCACATCCACCAAGGACCAAGTCAGTAAAAGAAATTTTTAGTGTTTTAAAAAAAAAGAGCAATAGAATCTGAAATGATCAGTCTTCCAAAGTCATTTAAACATAATAAAAATCAACAAGCAAATGAAAAGTTCACACACATCCTGCTTTGAGCTTACCTGGGGTTTTCAAAGGGCAACAGCAAATACTCTTCCACATTGAGGGCAGAAAGATTCAGTAGAGTGTGACCCAGGCTGTTTTTCAGGTATGGAGCTCCAGAACTTCCATTCAGACACTTCTGTAACATTTTTCAAAGATATAAAAATAAATCTAGTGAAATGAAGGAAGGTTATTCTGAAAGAAATGGATGCTTATAAACTATGTGTGTGACAGTTAATAATCTTACAAAGGGAATGGGGGAAGAGAGAAGGAAGGAAGGAAAGTGAGCATGAATGAACAAATAATTTTTTAAAAATTACAAATGACAAACAGGTTTGCTGATATATTGATGCCCTTTTATATATTAGGTTTATCAAATCTCCATAACATATGTAGTATTTGAAAATTCTATTGGAATTCTGTTGTTACCTTCTTGTTATTATGTCCCTTTGAACCAAAATGATGCAAACTTCCAATGTGTTTTCAAAGCCTATAAGTTGCCCAAGAAGAAATTGCCCATTTTCTCCTTCTGAAACAACTGGTTGATCCAAATTTCATGCCTTTGGATTGGTAGAGCAGCTCCTTACCATTACTTTACCAGCGCTTTCTTACTGTGACATTAAACGTTAATTGTATTTGGGATTTTAAAACATTTTCTGTATGTATCTCTGAGTTAATTGAACAGAAATAGAGAAAACAATAATTTCATTGATGTAACCTTGTATTTGATGAACCTGAAAGTTAGAGAAACCAGTGGGAAGATAATGAAAATATAAAGGAATGGATTTCTTTCATAAATACCTAATGTCTTAACTAAACATCCCTTTTACAGTAATTCATAGGAGAAGAAATAACTTGTATTTGCCAAGGTCTGAGGTAATGCTATGCATCAAACTAATGACCTGATTGCTTGAAGGTGGCATGATCTAGATATCAAATGAAATTTGTTTCCACTTCTTCAGAAAATATTGGATGGATAGTGTATTAAAATAGTGGGAAGAAATTGTTCTGCAATCACAACAACACACAGTTTGAATCTACCAGCTGCTGAAGAATGGTCAGTCTCCTCCCTTGGAATTAAACACCTCTTGGAAAACCCGCTGGGGGTTGGGGGGTCAGCTATGAGTCATAGCCCACTCAAGGGTTTACAAGAAGAACTAGTTATATAGTTTCTACTAATTTGTTATAGTAATAGGTCCAGAAAACAAATTTAAATTTTGTTACAAGAAGTAGAGTATTGTAACAAAGACCTAACTTGTAGAAGTAGTATTGAAATGTGATAATACGTAGAAGTTGGAAGACTTTTAATATGGATGATAGAAAGGACCAAATTGTTGTTGTTGTTATGTGCCATTGAGTAGCTTGCGACTCATAGGGACCTTATGTACAAGAGCCCTAAATGCTGTGCTATTCTGTGCCAACCTCGCCATCTCTGACACACTCATTCCGACCACCCCAATCACAAAATCAATCCATTTCATTGAGGGTCTTCCTCTCCTGCACCGTCCCTTCACTCTCCCAAACATGATGTCTCTCTCCAAGGACCAGTCCGTCCTTGCAACATGCCTAAAGTATGTCAGACATAGCTTCAGAATCCTTGACTCCAAGGTGTATTCTGGCTTCACCCTCTCCAAGACAAACCTGTTTGTTCTCCTAGCAGTCCATGGTATATTCAACACTCTTCTCCAGCACCACCAGCTCAAAGGCATCAATTCTCTTTCTATCATACCTACACACTGTCCAGCTCTCTGATGCGTAGCACATAATTGCCAAGACTATAGCCCAGATTGGGTGCACCTTAGTCTTCAGCCTGACATTGTTGCTCTTCAGTACTCTTGAGAGGTCCCTAACAGCTGACTTTCACAATACAATTCATCTCTGATTTCCTGGATGCTGGTACTAAGAGTGTTGACTGTGGAGCCAAGTAAACTAAAAGTGTTAATTATCTCTATTTCTTCACTATCCATACTGGGCCAATTGGCCGAGTAGTGAGAATCTTTGTTTTCTTGATGTTGAGCTTCAAGGACTATCATCTGGTTAATTAACTCTGAGTAAAAAAGTGAAACTAAAAGTGCTATTGATGATGTTTCAACTGAAAGAGGAGGAAAACTTGACAGACAAAATTTATTTATGCTTAAACATGTTGTTTTTGACAGGTGTCATCAAGGATGAATCATAACAATTCTATGAACAACAGATTTGAACCATGTCCTATCCTGTTCTATCCTCATCATCTCTGACATATTTGAGCCCATTGCTGTAGTCACTGTGTCAGTCTATCTTGTTGAGGGTCTTTTCTTTTACTAGCCTTCCACATTTCCAAGCATGATGTGCCTTTCAAAGAGTAACTTTTCCTGAAAATACTGTTGTAGATCATTAAAAATCGCTGGAACAGTGCCTAGACAAATCTGCCAAACATCAAACTGTATAATAGACTATGACACCAAGAATATGATTGTTGATGGCAGATGGATCCTTGTTGAAAATGAAGAACATCAGAAAAATATCTATTTAGGCTATATTGACAATGACATTTGTGTGGATTACAACAAATTATGGGTAAAATTGAGAAGAATAGGAATCATAGAATACTTAATTGTGCTCTTGTAAAATCTATACCTAGACCAAGAGACTACTGTGTGAATGAAGTAAGGGAGTACTGTTGTTATTGTTGTTAGATGTCCTTGAGTTGAATACAACTCATAATAACCCACTTGAATAGCCCACTTGAACCCTGCCCTATCCTGTGCTATGGTGACCATCTCTAACACACCAGAAACTATTGCTGAATTCATTATGTTAATTTATTTCATTGGGAGTCTTTCTCACCCTTGCTAACCCTCCATTTTTCTAAGCATGATATCCCTTTCCAGGGAACAGCCTAGTCTAGATACATGTCTTAAGTATAAATGGTTTAAAATTAGGAAATTCTCCATTAGGGTTGTATCCTTTCTCCATATGTATTTAATCTGAATGATGAACAAATTATTTGAGAAGCGGGACTCTATGAAGAAGAATGTGGCACAAGGAGTAACAGAAGACTCATCAATAACCTTCATTATGTGGATGACACAAACTTTCTTAATGAAATTGAGGAAAACTTGAATCACTTGATGCAGAAGGTTAAACATTGCAGACTTCAATATGGCTTACATCTCAATGACAAGAAAAAAAAAATCCTCACCACTGGTTCAATAGACAAAATGATAATAGATGGAGAAAAGATTGAAACTGTCAACAACTTTATCTTACTTGTATCTACAATCAATACACTTGGGACTAACCATAGGGTATCAGGAGATATATTTCACTGAGAAAGTCTGTAGTCAGGAATCTCTTAAAGTATTGAGGAGTAACGATGTCGGTTTGAGGACTAAGTTACCCCTGATTTAGACCATGGTCTTTTCAATCACTTTCCATACTGTTGAGAACTGTACAATGAATAAATATGACAGAAGAAAAACTGATATCTTTGAATTGTGGTTTTGGAGAAAAGTGCTAAATATCCCATAGCCTGCCTAAAGAACAATCAGGTATGTCTTGGAGAAAGTGCAATCAGAGTGCTCCTTGGAGGCAAAAATGATGTAGTTTCAAAGTTGGTCAGGAGAGTTGCTAGGAGAGGCTATTCCTTGGAGAGGAGCATTATACTGGAAAATATGGAGGCATGGAAAAGGAGCAAAAGACGCTTAACCAGGTAGATTGACACAATGACTGTAGCAATGAGCTTGAAAGTTTCATAGATTGTAAGGATGGCACACAGATCTGTCCAGATCTGCTTAGGGTCACTATGAGTTTTACTTCACTTGACTGCATCTAGCAATGGTAACAGCAACATGTTTGTAATATCAGAGACAAAGTTTACTATCTTTGCATTCAAAAAAGCACTTCTTCTAACACTGTTTATTCTTTTGGCAGTTCATGCAATATTTATCATTCTTCTCCAACATCACAACTCAAAGACATCGATGCTTTTTCTATTACCCTTATTCATTGTCGAGCTCTCAAATGTGTGGCAAGTGTTTGAAAAAAAAATGGTCTGAATTACGCACACCATAGTCTTCAATCTGACATCATTGTTTTACAGTATTTTGGAAAGGACCCTGACAGTGGATGTGCCCAATGCAATGTGTCAAAATCTCCTGCTGCTAGTACCAAGGATGATTTTGTATCCAAGCAAGATAAAATTATTAATAAGTTCAGTCCTTTCTACATCTATCATGATGTTGCATATTGATCCATTGGTGAGGATATTTGTTTTCTTGATGTTGAGATGTAATCCATACCAAAGATCTTGAGTATGAATATATAATACTTCAGCCTAAATATCGAATATATATGTTATAATATACAATTACTAGAAAATGAAAAATGTAATTATTAGAAAATATTAATATACACTTGTAGAGAATATATAAATATATCCTCACAGAAGATAGGTGAAAATATAAATATTGAAAGGGGCTTTCAGTGAGGACTAATAGGAAATCAATAACATGTTATTGGAAACTAGAAAAGAGATAATTCATGTTTTATGTTGTTGTTTTGTTGTATTAGGTGCCAACTTACAATGACTTTATAAATAACAAATCAAAATTTTGCCTTATCCTTTGCTATCTTCACAATCTTTGCCATGTTCAGCTCCACTGTTGTAGTCACTATGCGGATCCATCTCATTATGGATCTTACTCTCTTTTGCTGACTTTGTTTTCCCCAAACGATTCCTTTTTTCCAAGTACTGGTGCCTACTAACTTTATAACTAAAGTATGTGGGGGGAAACTGCTTCATTTGTGCCTGTAAGGGACACCCTACCCTGTTGTACTTTCTCTAAGAGAAATGTGTTTGTTCTTATGGCAGTCCAAGGGATATTTAACAATTCAAAGCATCTATTATTTTTCTATCATCTGATTAATTATTGAACTTTCTTATGAATACAAAGGAATTTAAAATACCAGGTTCACCTTTGTCTTTAAACTCAGATTTGTTCTCTTTAACACTTCAATAAGTACCTTGAGAACAGACATGCCCATGCATCACATCTTTTGATTTATTGACAGTTGCTACTATGGCTGTTTATTTTGGATTCAAGTAAAACAAAAAATCCACGACCTTGTCAATCTTTTCTCTATATATCTTGGTGT